GTATAAATGAAGGATATGTACGAGTTTACTTTAGAGATTGGGGAACCATCACAGCGTGCAAGGTAAAGACTGGAAATACTGTTTGATTACTGCCTGTGCTTATATATTTTTGTATAAATTATAAAGATCCAGGACATTTTGTCACCTAATTAAAATCTGTTAAATTGGATTCCAGATTAAGAAAAGCCCCAACAAGGGGGGAAATAAGGCAATGGCCTATGTGAGGTTTTCTACAGAGGATGAAGCAGACAGAGCAGAATGGGCTGGTCCACACTACATTGGAGGCGATGTGGAAGTGAAACGTGTTGTTAGTCCAAAGGTAAGTCTATAATGTTTCTCTCCTTTATGCCTGTTCTCATAACGGACATAAAAATAGAAATGTAGATTAGCAGTATTTGGTGTTGCTGTCTGTGTCTTCATCTGCCGACTCTAAAAATCCTTTCCTTTAAGATGGACGACAATTCAGAAGAGGAGGTCACCACAGTCGTTGCTAAGCGACCACAGCGTTCAATGGGTTTGGGCTACATACTGGAAGATGCTCAGTGGTTAGATGACGACATGGATGAATAAACAAATACTGTGCAACACTGACCAATAAGGCTGATTCTAAAAAAATCTAATTATGTTTATTAATGTTTGTCAAGGTCATAGGGATGTTATTGCACACTCTGCAAAACACTGTAAAGCAAAACAAAAGTTGTGTAAATAAATAAATAACTGGTTCTGTCAGCTTCAGTTTTGCTTTCAGGTTCTTTCCTTCCTCTTATGTTGGCCTCTTTATTTAAAAGGTGGGAGGTTTACTGCATAGTCTAAATATTCAAATACAGCGTGTAGTAACTACACAATGAGGTAGAGAAACATGTAAGGAATTGCAAATATAATCCATTCATTATGGAACTATATTTATATAAGCAAAAAGGGATGTAACTCACACAAAAATCTAAACTACTATTTTATTTTTCATATTAATATATTTAGTTTTCAAATTAAAATATTTAGTTTTCAAATTAAAATATTTCATTTTCAAATTAAAATATTTCATTTTCAAATTAAATTATTGGGCAACATTTTTGCTACGGTGGGGGGCGGTGCGACTGACGTCAGAGATCAATGACCAATCCCTACGCAGAGCGCCAAGATTCTCTCACAGCGTCACAAAACATGGCGGAGAGGGACGCAGAAATCGGGTTCAAAAAGGTAGGAGAAGGATGTCGCCCCCCTTTTATTATGTATGGTTAAACTTACTCGGTTTCAACCTGTGGTTAAATAAAAAAACGAGTATTGCGTTTTCTGTTCCGTCCACTGAGCCTTCGCGCCAACAGAGCATATACATTGTTGCTGGTGTGTCTGTCAGGCGATTAAACTTTACACCTCGCTGAGGTACAGATCTGTGGATTAACAATAAATGTAACGCCGAATGGAACAGCGGTTCACGATGATTCAAAATAGTGTTACTATTATGGGATAACAACAGGGTAGGTGGCCTATACAGTTGAAAAACATTAAATCGTCATTTTTCCAAAGGCAGTTTTGTATGGGGAAACAACGCATCAGCAGGTTGCAAGATAAAACCAGTGATATGTGCATGTTCACCATTCTCCTCATTTACAGGACACGGTAAGCAAACTCCTGTCGAGTTTCTTCAAGGAGGACAAAACCAGACGTGAGTTGGATAATATATCTCCTGATATGAGTGACCTTTCCCCCCAAAAACTGTTCATTTGTGATTCTTATGGCTCAACAAAACTCTTGTTACAGTAGGTGGAGACGCTGTGCTGCTCATGACAGAGATGCTCAAAGTATTTGTCCAAGGTAAGTTATAGAGTTCTGTTGGCTACAGTTGTACATATCCTACTGATTGCTCGATGATGCATCTCTTAATTCGTTGTCTCATTTTTCCAGAGGCCGCAGTAAGATCACAGAAACAAGCCGAATCTGAGGACTGTGACCAAGTAGACATCGAGCACTTTGAAAAGATCCTACCTCAGCTGGTGCGTAGCTCAACTAAAACAGGGTTTTAACGGCTCATTTAAGAGCTTAAATTACAACCACGCAGTGCCATGGCTGCTGCCTCGGTGCAAGGCATTTCAGGAAACTGTACTCTTCTTGTTTGTCTCCTGAATTAAAGATCCTTTATTTATACTGTTTGATTACTGGTGCAGCTAATATGCACATTTGTTATTTCACCTGCTGCCTGTATTACAACTCACCATAGTACAGGGCCTTCCATGTGATCACTGATTGTCAAACTTTTTGTGTTTGAGTCAGTATTCGTTATAGGAGTTCGTGTTTTAATTAGGGCTGCACAATTAATTGCAATATTATCAGAAGTGCAATATCCAAATCGCCAAGAAGCAGCAATCTTTTTGATAAAGGTCAAATGTGTCAAAACAACATTATAATGAAGCACTGTAGTTCTGCTCTCTTTTTACCATATGGTGCCGCCCTTGTTTTAATCACTGTACATATTCTTAAGTGTGAGCCATTACTCTTGTTCTGTGGTTCAGATAACCAGTGAGTATGAGAGATTCAGTGCCTAGTGGTGTGGTTTTTAAATAAATAAGTTAATTTAAATCCGTTTTTCTGATCTCTCATGCTGGACCGGCCCAAACTGCTAGTATTTTGTTTGTTATATAAAATGCTGGTTGTACAGATTGGTCTCACATGTGCATCATTAAAGCACTAATTACATTTTTTTTAATATTAATCTCAGTCTTTAATCTCTTTTTCAATGCAGCTGCTGGACTTCTAGCCCAGTGATGCCACAAGATGGAGCCAGAGTGTTTCCCACATCCTCCTCCTTCAATCAGACAATTTCAGTTCCTGCACCTACAACTTTAGTTTTACTGATGTTTATATTTTCTGTATAACTGCAATTTCATAATCACTTAAATCTGAGATTAAATTAAGATCCTCGTTCTGTATTTATTGGGAGTTGTTTTGATTTTAAGTGGAAAGCAGCAGTGCTGTCCGCACGCCTCCTTGCCACCATCAATAAGGCCCACCTGTGCTCGTCTGTGCAACAACAGGTGCTTCCAGCATGCTCCATGGCGCCCTTCATCAAAGCCTCCTGGAGCAGTTGGAAGCAATTAGAGTAATAAGGGGAGCAGCCAGTCCCTTAGATGATGACAAGTGCCAGGAAAAAAGGAGTACCCCCTCCGGCCACTTTGAAGTTCCCTTTTGCTGTCCTGCGATGTTTAGTTAGAGGTGGGGGGAAGGGCAAAGGGGACCTCTGGCACAGGGGGAAAGTTGAATGGGAGTGCGCATGCACGAATGTGTGCATGTGTTAGCCAAACATGGCCAGAGACCACACGCATAGATATTCTGTTTGAAAGGAAACATAACAAAACACATTGGAACATGGTCCAAGAAGAGCAGGGTGTAATTCTGAAGGTAAATAAACAAAAGAGGTGAGTAGTAGAGGTGCTTTCTCTCCTTTCATCACAGCAGAGGGGGAAGTTGGGCCTGCGAGGGAGAGGGTAATGTGGGGTTTTCTAACCAATGTGCCTCTGATGGTTTTCCACCAGTGGTGTATTTGACCAACGTGTCTTCACTATGAGTCAGCATAGCTGTACAACACCTCACACTATTTATTTGTGTGGCTCTCGGGGTGACTCACTACGCTTACAAATGCTGCTCACATACAGCTGGAAGCAACTTGGGCTCAAGTCAAGAGTCTAGGCTTGGATAGGTGCTCAAGGACACCGCACCTGGAATTTGACCCAGCACCTTTCTAGTAGGGCCCAGACTGGATTTGTGTTTCCCAGGAGTTAGGTCCACAGCAGGCCCTCAGGAGAAGGTGTGTTTGGTCGAGTGATGTTCAGTTTAATGATGCCATGAGAACCATTAGCACAAAAGGAAAAAACCTTTTGTGAAGTAAATCATTTGTTGCGTTAATAAACAGTCATTCATAGCAACAAGTCTTGCCCTCTAGTTTTGACTAGTACAATACACTACAGAGCCACCACATACTGCTCACTCAGATGAAATGCTGCAGGTAGACTCAGGTTTTATTACTAGATATGAAACCAAATGATCTTGCTAAAACAAAAAGTACAATATATATACGCATACTTATTGCAACTGTAAAAAAAACAAATGTTCTAAAAGATGTAGTTTTGGATATAATAGTATAATAATTGTAATCCTAATAATACAGCATTGTCGCAGCTATTCTTTCTAGTGGCCACAAAAAGCTTTACATTGTGATAATGCCCTGTAACATCACAAAATCAACAGGACAAAGATCAGAACACACAGACTTTACAGTACAATAATATTAATATCATAATTATAAGCAGAACAGAGAATGGGAGTAAGAATATTGTATATAATTGTACATACATAATGTAATGTACATACATAACTAACAACTAATAATAATAAAACATATACCAGAATAATAATAATGTTTCAATGCTTAAGTATGCCCAAATGAATGTACCTCAGCACAATCCAACTCACATTTGTATGTTAAACCCTTCAAACTGACTACAAGTTAAACCTCAAAAGGTGCTGTTTTAATGAAATTGAGTTGTACGTTTTTTTCATGTATGTCTAAGTAAATTAAATTCACGCATAGCAGTGGCTGTTTGACTAAATTAGTTATAGCATGTCAGTTAGAATAGTCGTGTCTATCTAAACTGAACAGTGCAATATAAATAAAAAATTCTTTGTAACAGAAATATTAGATATATAGGAGTAGTCTAAAGCTTTTCTGGAGCTTTTACTAGAGATGAAATGGATCTTCTCCAGCTGTCAAATTTTGCAGATGAAATAAAAACAGTTATTCTGTTGGATCTCTCACAGATTGTTTTTTTTTTCCACAATATGAGCTGTTGGAAGGTCTCTCTACTGGCAAAGAAGTGCACTACTGTACAACGTTTCTCCTTATGCATCTTAGTGGAACAAATTACATCTGAAGGCGGTATTATTAAACATACGAAAGCAGTTAGGACAAGAATGGGGAGGGGCGTTGAGGGGAATAATGAGTTAAAGCTTTTCTTGATCATACATTAAAGGCAGGGAGTGTCGACAGCCAGTCCAGACGCTTTGGAGGAGCTCCGGAGTGAGAAGCTTTTGCAGGAGACAGAGACTGATCTGTCTCCAGTCCTCTGGCTGGTCTTTGGACAGCGTTGCACATTGGATCAGGCTCTCATCATTGCTTGAAGATATCTGCCTGATTGTAGCCATCAGTATCAATACTGATTTTATAGAAACAGCAGGACCACGATCCAGTTAAAATTGCCTAATAACCCTTCTTTTATCAGTACGATTGAGTCGTCTTAGGGCAAACTTGATCCTCTTTGAACAGTTTGCATCAGTGGTTATGATTGAAAAAAACGCAATCGTGAATCGCTGTCCACTTACAAGTTCTGGGAATACCTGTCCTCTGTAGGCTTTTTGTACATTTAGACAAATAAAAGGCAGTAAGAATACGAGTTTGATAAGGCTGTATGGTTACAGTAAACATGGTTTTAGGTGACATTTGTCTGGGTGGAGTCGTCCGCATCAGTCCTGAGAGTTCCTCTGAGGGTATGTTAGGAGGATTATGTCAGATTTCACTCCTTAATTCCCCATCACTCGTCTATGGTTGTTTTTTTTTCTGTTAGAATGACACAGATTCTCCAATTTCTCCAACTTTCTCTCATCTTAAAGTTCCTTTCTTCTCGGGCCCAAACTAGGGTCCTGTCTATCACAAGTGATCATAATACACCCTTTTCCCTGACTGTTGGCCTTGAAGAGATGGCTGTAACAACATCCAAGCGGGCAAAATCTGAAGTGTATAAGCTACATCAAAGTTTATAGGCTTATAGGGCACATAAAACATTCACTTTTACCATTAATGTGTACATAAAAACATTTACTGCACCATGTACATCATTTTCATTAGGAAAGTCTTTGCTCTTTTTAACTCTTTTTCCAACCTGGGTAAAACATTGGGTTGATAGTATTAAGTCTGGAAAAGACAAATAAGGTCTGCTGCCACGCAGCACTCTTGTTCATGCAAAGACAGAAGACAACAGGAGATCTTAATCCACAAGAAGCTACACATGTCATCTGCCGTAAGTGTCAGATCTTACCCCGTCATTTCAATTACACATGTTTGTGAGTACTTATATAATAAATATGTGATGGCATGCATCTGTTGTCAGTTGTTTATGTGCATGTATGTGCTTGCATGCATGTTGCGCTTGATCTGGGGCTGTGACGCATTAGTGCTCAGGAGACAAGAGGCCCTTGTGGCCCCCTCATGGTCATGGAGCTGTCTAACCATAGAGGAATGCTGCAGGGGACACAGAGCATTCCTCTTAGATCCTCCACACGCAACTCACACACACATGAAAAGTTACAAACATTTACAGCGCTGTCAAAAAAACACAAACAAAACACGGTCGCAGGCATTTTGGTGTGCATGCGTTTTATGGAAAGCTTGCGTGTGTGTGGAGAGAATGCAAATACAGAGGCAGCATCTCTGCTGACTGTATATACTGCTGTGACATGTGGGTTTCCTGGAGGCCCCAGGCCTCTCTGCGGGGCCTGGGGTCCTCAGGCTAAGCTTTGTTAAGGAGCCACAGGGCCCACGACGGGGATGATTAGAGCATACCTGGCAGTTTGAGCCACTTGGGCGCTCTGCTGGGATCACTTCTAACTGGTTGTGGCGCTTGGCTGTTAGTCTGAGGCTGAAGATGGTCTGCTGCTGTGTTCTGTGTATCGGCCGGGGCTTTGGTAGCCACAGGGGGCGGAAAGGATTCTTCCGGAATCAGTGAGGTGGATGATAAGGTCAAAGACCTTGGCATGCAGCTGAAGAGGGAAAAGGGAGCAAGAGAGATGTACAATTAGGCCCGCAGCTGGGTTATTTCTGGAGCCATGTAGTACTACCTTAACTTCATTACCCTCCTCTTCCACCCCAAGTCCCCTCTCTACTCTCTGTCTCCACCTCCCTCGTCTGTGTGGTGGCCTACATGGTCAGGGCATAGGCAATAACAACAGACTAATCCCCTTACATAACACTGCACAAACTCAACAAAAAAGACCATTCAATTAATTTTTGGAGCAGCTAAAAATAAAGAAGCAGCTCGGCCGAGGTGACGTCAAAAGGAGCGTGTGTAGAGGGGGTGGACTCGTACCCCAAATGAGCCGACTGGACCGGAGGTCAGCAGAGCGCTCTATTTTTAGGTCCCTTCAAAAGCAGTGATATAAAAATAGTCCAGCACTAACCCTCACAAGAGCCGTCAGTCACGCTTAGAGAAGCTGTGAACCCGAAGGTCACGCCCTCGGAATGATGAAAGGGCTGATGTTTGATGATATTTAAAAAGGAGCAAGTAATGACCAAAATCTCTTTAGCTGGTGGCAGGTGGCACAGTGTGAGGTTGGCCTTTGTTAGACTTGTTAAAGGACTTCATCAGCAGACATGTGAAGCCCTTGGCGACGGGCTAATATTCACTGCAATAACACCATACGTACTGTTTGGTGAATGTTGCTGCTGAGATCAGGCTGATGTTAGAGTTTTTATTTACCAGCTTTGCACTGTCAGATTGTCTCTCTCAGTGTATGTAGATTTTTAAAAAAGCCTGAAAGAAGCCAGTGTAGACAAGAGTTAAGGGTACTTTCCCACTGTTTGTATTGGGTTAAACAAGTCTGTCTAAAGTTCCATGCACAAGTCTTAGGGGCCAGCATATTGACCGTCCTCACAGTGGTCAGGGGCACCGGAACTCTAAATTAGCCCCTGCGAGTCAACAGGACAGCTTTCATGTAGACAAGGGTTCATGTCAGATTGCAGATGAGGTCAGGATGTGAGGGTCAGAAGTCAAGATGCAGTGTTGGTCTTTGTCTTTAACAGCTTCCTGTCTGCTGTGTTGTGCAAACCTGAACGGTAATCCCTTGTGATACAGGTTCAAAGCAGAGAGATTGCCTCACTCTCATGGTACAGATATGGGACTCATCACTCCACTTGTACTTGGTCACATTGCAACAATTGTTCCATTAATACTGAGGTAATGCTGAGTTTAATGAGGGCTGTATCTGCAGCTAAGGCTGTGTGCTTGCCTTACGCAAAATAAAACAAAAGCTTTTGATTATTTTTAATCTATAGATGGCAATACCCATCTGTTGAGCTATTGGTGGGTAGGTCAGTTGGTCCACCACTTTGATCCAGACTGGAACAATCTTTTAAGGTCCTCAGAGGATAAATCCTACTGACTTTTCCAGCACCACTGTGAAGGTCCACGATGGCTGTAAGAATGTTCCATTAAGACCTTTTTGGCAACGGGTCATTTTCCTCAGTAGCAGAGACGGTTTCGATCCATCAACTCTTGGGTATGCGCCCAGCGCGCTTCGCTGCGGCCTCACTCGGGCTACATTTGTGGGAGATTTGGGCTGGCAATCTGATGGTTTACTATTCAAGTCTTTATGGTAAAGATGTGAGCAACGCTACCATTCAACTTTTCTCTGAGTTTGTTCATTTGGTCTTTCAGCAAGTCGCCAGCAAGATAATAAAGTCTTGCCAGTATCTGTCGGCTAAGTTCAGTTTCCAGCTTTTCGTTGATGGCGGCAAAAACACACCCTTCTTACATTACAATTGACAGGGCTGGCGGTTTTTTTTTTTTTTTCAAAGGATTTGGGCACATTAACAGATAACCAACCTTGTGCACGTTTGGCGTGGAGTCTGGGTGTGGGATTTGAACCCACGCCTCCTGAGAGACTGGAGCCTTAATCCAGCGCCTTAGACCACTCGGCCACACTACCTGAAAACGGACATCACCTCAGCTTTTCTCTGAGTTGTCAATTCTTTTACTTAAATGTCTAAGCATGCCAACAAAGTAATCTAAGCTGATGATAAACATTACACCGGCTGAACATTAGCATGTTAAAGTTGTCTTCATGAGTATGTTGCCGTGCTAGTGTTAGCATCAGGCCCTAAGCACAGCTGTGCCTAAATACAAGCTTCACTTACACTAGCAAGACTATTAACAACAAACCTGGTCCAATGTAACACAGGAGAATAGTAAACATGATTGATCAGATCAAGTAGTCCTTCTAGTCCTCAAAGCTAATAAAACCGGCTTGAAATATGTAAGATCTGTAGCAGCAAAGTTCACTATCACAATTTATTTGACAGCGATTTACTTCAAACAAATCCTGAACCACAACCTTTGAGATCTCAAGGTCTGTCCTTAATAATTTATTTGATCTTTGACATGAATGTTTCATTTCAAAATATATAACAAGTTGCACCGATGCTCCTGCTCCCCCTCAGACTTTGAAGGCGCACCTGTTTTTGTACAGATGTAGTTCTGTAGCGCTGGAGGGAGGGTGAAACTCCAGGGTCAATAGGAGACACAGCAGGATGCTCCACTGCAAGGTGTCTCTTTTTCTCTTTGAGAGCAAGACAAATGGAAGAGGCAACTGAGGCTCTTTTTGTTTCTCTGACATGAAAACAGGGCGACCAGGAGAGGTGATTTACCAGCCTGTCTCCACACCAGACTGGAAATAAACCAGAGCTGTTGGAAACACGCTGGCCTGGAAGGAGCAAGAAGGGGAAGGAGTTAATGCACATCACACAACTTGGATGATGAATGGTTACTGCTATAGGGGACAGTTTGAGCTCTGATATAGGTCCGCAAATCACATGGTTTGATTTTTGCTCTTAGTGAGAATATTTTAACAATCAAATAAGAATACAGAAGAGGAGGATCCAACGCGAGACGATCCCTGACCTTTGAAGACGGAACATTGCACCGCTCTTGTTGTTTTACCTTCATCTGATATAGAGGAGGGGGCAACACTTGTTTCCAGACATAAAATGTAAACCCTCTCCAAAAACAGCAAAGCAGATCCACTCTCAATGAGCTGTAATTTAAAAGGAAAAACAACAATAAATTTAAAAGGGCCTCAAAGGGGCCGCTGGTGCTCTTACTTTTCTGTACATAAAACAAAGCGCCGGCATGTTCTAAAACCACTCCATCACTCACCCTGCGATGAAACATGCTGAGGCAGAGACTGAGAGAGAGATGTAGCAGGCAAAGAAAAGAGAGACGCTGCTTTGAATTTGACTTACTGCGCAGAGGCTGTTATGTTGACGGACTAAGGCACTGTTGGATAAACTCCTTTCTCTTCCACTTTTTGTTCTTCTACCCCCACTCTATCTAAAAGTTTTCAGTCGGCCTTAATATGGAGATATTATCCAACGAAAAAGTTGTCAGCATGCTTGAAATCAGTCTTGTTAGGGCACTAAATGACTCAAGGGTGTAGGTGCTTAATTTGGTCTAAAAACTAATCTTCTGTCATATATAAGAGCCTCCGAATGATTCACAGAGTGGAGGCAGGACCGTCCACTGCGACCTGATATCCCGGTGATTCTGTTGCATTGATACACTACATGGGAGCTGAGGATCAATGGGAGGGCAATATCCTGCATCCTGATTCTGTTAGGAGGCAAAGCCATGACATGTCTGAGTGCCCAAAGAGAAAAGGCCAGGTGTCCCCTGGTCTTCTTCCATTTCCCCCCATCCAGCACGGATCCTGCTGACTAATAGCACCAGGGAGCTACCACCCCTGGCACTGGAACCCCGGCTCACTCAGCTGAGGAGCTGCCTGACAGGAGAACTCAGGGAAAAATGTACAAAGAAAAAAACAAGCAATTTAAGGGTATGGCATTTCAGTGTTAACAACAGGGTGTGAGGTGTCCCAGATTAACCAACACTGATTATATCAACACTGTATCCGTCTAACCACGTAACTACACAATATAATCCACTGTCCCCCTCCTGTTTGACACCTGAAACTGAACTGCATAGTACCATTACTAACAATTCACAACTAATGTGCTTTTGATTACGGTCTCTAACATGAGCTGCTGGTTTCTATTTTCTGGGTTGGAGACCTGAAGACCTTTTTAAAAGAAAAAGCATCCAACAGAGACGTGGTTCAGAGCGATTACATAAAATCTATCAACTACAAAAGAAACATGATCAAAAGAATGCCTTTTTTCAATCATCTCTGGGATGCACGTTTGTCAGAAACACTAGGGCTGCTACTTATTATTCATTAATCGATTAATTATTAAGTCGCCATAATTGCAGAAGAACACACACGCATGTTGACTCAACCCAAAGTTATGTTTTCTAATTGCAGCCAAAAAAAAGATATTTACAGTAATATGAATGAGAGGATACCAGCAAACCCTCACATTTGAGGATAAATCTTCAGTATTGTAATGAATTAGTCTGACCAGTTGATTAATCATCCAGCAAAAAGTCATTAAAATAGCACAACTTGTTATAACGAAACCATAAAGTATGAAAATTAAGAGATTTGTTAAGAATATTGTCACACATAAGTTAATTCTCTAATGAGTTATTTTCTTTTCTAATTATTAGTAATATTTAAGGTATGTATCGTCTGTTAAAACTGCTATTGTAAGGAACAGATGAACACTAATTCAGTGCCAAATAGAGATGTTTCATGCCCAATCACACTGAGGTCATGGGAAAAGTTAACACACAGGTTTCTTTATTTTTATGAATGGGTATCCTAGGGTGTTGGGCTGTTGACCCAGGTAGAGAAAGCACAGAGGACAGGGCGTAACATGTGCAGTGTGCTTTTGGGGTTTTGAAACCTTGTATTTGCTGACGGCAGCCCTATCTCCTTCCTTCATCTTTCTTAGTTGAAGAAATATTGTCACAATACGAGAAAAAGGAAGGTCAGATGCTCGGCAACAATGTAAAAACACAGCCATCAGAGCAATTTTATTCTTCACTACATCTCAGACGCTGAGAGGGGAAGCAGAGCTTGTTCATCCACAGCTGAGTAAACTACTTAAGTCTATCTTATATGGCTACAGACATGATTTTTGAAATGGAAAAACCTCAAAATGTGGTAATGATAGAGACAGACAAACATAGCCATGTTTGATTGCCAGACTTCCTTTTGTTATTTCACTGTGTGTTTGAAGTCTTGAGAGAGTGAGTGGAATCTTAGCAAACTGTCTTCAATTTCTGCACTTTCTCTGAATCAAAAACTGCCGATAAAATCTGCTGGACAGGATTCAGAGAGGAGTACGCTTTGACAATACACTACACGGCTACCAAATACTGTACAGGCAGGCCGGTGCCTTTGTCTTTCCTTGAAATCTCATATTGTCCCCCCCTACCAGCTGTGTTAAACCTGTCCGCAATAAGATAAGCTGTGGGTCTGTTTCCTGTGCTGCCTATAAATATGGCCTAATCACTCTCCAGTGGAGCTTGTGGGACAGATGTTACAGTTGCATCCCTTCACCATGCTGAAGTACATATTGATGGTTCACAGACTGTTTACACAGTTCTCATTCATCTGTGCTATGACCATTCCCAGTTGGATCCATTTGCCAGCCCGAGTCTGATGGTTTACATAGCGGAGCCCCTCCGGCATGTGGAGCCCATGCTCTTTACCCTCTGCTTCTTTCGTGACTGCACACAAGCAAATAAATAACAAGTGAAGATGTATGTCCACAAGTAATCCATAGAGAAGTGGGCCTGGCGGGTATGGGATCTAAACAGACTCTGATGATTGTATATGTGGAGTGAGTTAAACAAGTGACACAGAACGTTATGCTTTGATCTGCTAATTATAGTGGAAAACAACCTGGCAACAAAACTGCTGTCATCAATTTGACCACATTACCTGAATTTTCCACCTGGCAAACAACAGAACTTTCTGAGACATGATTGTGGAGATCCAGCAGGTGAAGCTCTTTGTTCTACTTGATTTTTTAATTACAGAATTTATAGGCTCACAAACAAATCTATGTTAATTCCTGAAAACCTTCCTTAATTCAAGGGGCAGCGAAGAAAGTACACATCCTCCAGTTACAGAGCAACATTATCATTCATTTATTAAGGGTTGTGTTTCCTGCAACCTGGCAAATGTATATATTCACTCCCTTTTTAACTTCATTTTGGTCTCTACCAGCTCCTGAGGGAAATATCTGGCTCTCTCGCAGCTAAATGCTCCACTATTTTCACCAGCTATTTTCTGATTCAGATTGATGCAGATTCAGGTCATAATTTTCTGTAGGTTCATCGCAACAAGTGACACCGTTTTCACATCTTGTCATTATAAAAATATTGATTTTTAAAAGCTTCAACGCTGTTGTTTCGCACATTAAAATTCTGAATAAGGGCTGTACAGGGTGAGCAGCTTTTACAAAGTGTATCTTTCCTCCAATGGCAAAGAAAACTTTCAATTACTGTTTAGCTGTCATTTTTATCTTACAAAGCCTTTGTGCTCCTCAAAGGCATTAATACCTGCACCTTGGTGATGCCTTTAATTGCCATTTAGCATTAAGCTGGCTGAACAATAAAGCCCAGGCTGAGGGGATGTTGTCAGGTTTAATGAGGCCCTCGGTGAAAGAGGGCTGCTATGTCGGCACCACCAAAGGCTGCTCCCTGAATTCACCTCCAGTGGACCAGAGTGGTCCTGTGGGGATTTGATGGGCTGAGGGAGCACAGATTGTCTCTCCCCCACTGTGGGGGGTGTAAGGGGCTGCAGTGGCATCAGTAGCCCTTTGCTGTGCATGGCTAGGCGGGCAGAAAGCGCAGAGTGGAAGAGGTTATAACCGCAGTACCACGGAGCAAGGTGCCGCAGAACAACGTGGCATTGTGACACTGAAAAAGCTAGGCAGCGGTGGTCAGCACTCAGAGAGAAGTAACTCTTACTAGGTGCAACAGCAGCCGGCGGTCTTTCACGTCACCTGACTGCAAAGGGTA